TAAAACAATAAAGCTCTTAGAAGTAAACATAGGAGCAAATCTGCATGTCTTTGGATTTGGCAATGGTTTCTTATGCTTGATACCAAAATCACAAGAAACAAAAGAAAAAATGGATACACTATACTGAATAAAATTAGAAACTTTTGTGCGTTAAAGAACACTATCAAGAGAGAGAAAAGACAACCCATAAATGAGAGGAATATTTGCAAAGTGTATGTCTGATGAGGATGTAACACCCAGAATATGTGAAGAAGTCTACAACTCAACAATGAAAAGACAATCAACCCAATTAGAACCCAGACAAAGGACTTGAATATACATGGCTCCAAAGAAGATGTGTAGATGGCCAATAAACCAATGACAAGATGCTTCACATCACTAGTTATTAGGGAGTTGAAAATCAAAACCACAATGAGACAACACTTCACACACACTAGGATAGTTAGGATAAAGAAGAAACTGGAAAGTAAGTGCTGACAAAGATGAGAAGAAATTAGAACCCTCATGCATTACTGCTGATTATGTAAAATGCTGCAGCCTCTGTGGAAAATGTTTTGATAGTTCCCTAAAGTGTTAAACATAGAATTACCATATGAACCAGCAAAGGAACCCCTAGACATATACCCCCAAACAATTGAAAACATATTTTCATGCAAAAACATGTTCACAAATGTTCATAGCAGCATTATTCATGATAGGCAGCAAAAGCGAGCGCACCAGAAATGTCCATCAGCAGATGAATGGATAAACAAAAAGCAGTACAGCTGTATAAGGGAATTATATTTAGCCCTGAAAAAGAGTGAACCACCAATACAAGCTACAACACAGATGAACCTTGAAAACATCATGCTAAGTGAAAGAGGGCACATTTTATATAATTTCATCTACATGAAATGTCCAGAATAGGTCCCTCAATATAGACAGAAAGCTGATTAATGTTGTCAGATGGCAGAGAAAGGGGGCAATTAGAATTGAAATTGACTGCTAATAGATATGTGGTTGCAGGGGGAGTGGCAATGGAAAGTTCTAGAATTAGATAGGGGTGATGGTTATACAACATAGTGACTATACTACAAAGCGCAGAATTGTGCATGTTCAAAAAGGTAAATTTAATGATATATGAACTCTATCTCAAAAATTAAATATATTTTAAAAAGCAACAGAGTCCACTTCTTGATTCTGGTCCTCTGACCTCCGGCATCAGAGGCCAAGCTAGGATCTCTGCTCACTACACACTGAGGGAGGAGGCAGAAAGGAGACAGCATTTAGTCAGATTAAGAGAAATAAAATTCAATCACAACATGAAGTGGGGCGATGAAATTCCTTCTCATTCAGAGGGAATGTATCAACTGTAAAAACGAAACTCTTTTCTCTTCTAGGGATAGAAGCAAATGCTGCTTTTCTCAGTCAGAGTGTCAGCTGGTCCCTTCCTAAGGAAAGGAATTCAATCATCTAGTTGTTTGGTCTCCAAGCCAGTCGACAGGATTTTTTTTTTCCTCTCCCCACTGAATGGACTGTTTTCAAACTTCTGTTGGTGATGAATTAGTTCACTGCCATCTGCGAAAAGCCTAGAAGCTGGTGGGGTCAATGAAATGTACTCTGAGACACTCTTGATCGGGTGTTCTGCCAAAGAAGCTGTAATGGGAGAAGGACTGATTTTCTTTTCCTTTTTTGCAAATATGGTAAGTCTCAGTGTTTTAGAAAAGCATTTTGTGATGTCTCAAGTGAGGATGAGGCTTCTCACTTCCTAACACATTTATATTCCTCTTTACCTAGATAACTGCTTCTCATCGTATGTCTCAGCTTCGACATCACCACTATAATGCAGCTACAGCAGAACACCTGCAACTGACGAGGGGCCAAGGGGGAGCTTGGTATTTTAGCCTGCTCCAAACAAGAGAAGAACCTTGCATTCATTTTCTATTTTTGCATAGCAAATTACTGCACACTTAGCAGCTTAAAACAACACATCTTTATCACCTCACAGTTTTGGGCAGTCAGCAGTCTGAACTGGATCTTCTGCTCAGGGTCCTATAAGGCTGCAGTCACATGTGTCAGCTAGGCTATGTGCTAATCTGGAGTTTGGGGTCCTCTTCCAAACTCATCTAGGTTGTTGACAGAATTCAAATTCAGTTTCTTGCTGCAGAAGGACAGAGGACCTTGGCTCCTAATGGTTTCCCCTTTACATAGGCAGTTCACAACCTACTAGTTGGTTTCTTCAAAGCCAGCAAGACAGCATGTCTGCTGTTTTGAGACTTTGACTTTCAGGAAGGCCTAAGCCCTTAAAAAAGAAAAAACCTGATTAGGTCAGGCCCACCTAGTATGCTCTCTCTTTTTGACCTGTGAAAATCAACAGATTGGGGATTCTACTTACATCTGAAAAGTTCTTTCACATTTTCCATATAATGTAACATAATCACAAGAGTGATATCACATCATATTCACACATCTTGCCCACACTCAGGGAGAAAGGATTATGCAGAGTATGTACACCAGGGGTAGGAACTTGGGGACCATTTCTGAATTCAGTGTATTACAGACCCCTTGGTCTTACTTTGGGGACCACTCTTCCTCAGTCCATGAGACTTGGGTGAGGCTGACCCCAATGACCACAATTCTCTAACTGATTTTTATAGAGAATCCATTCATGAGCTATTTTTTGTCGAGTACAAGGTAGATCATGTCTGGCTGCCATATAGGGAACCCAAGAGACCACCTGGTACAGGCAAAAGTACACTGATCCTTGTGTCAGACAAACCTGGATTGGAGAGCCCTGCTTTACCATTTCTTCTCTGTGTGACCTTAGGTAAGTCTTATAATCTCTTTGACCCCAGCTCCCTGTGTGTGCAAGTGTTGTTGTGAGGCATTAAAACAATGATTGAGAAAATAAATATTGAGCAGCAGAATCCCAGCCCTTGTTATGTTTGCAATACAACTAAAATTAAAGAATTGTAATAAATGTATGCATCTTACTAGAGCTTTGTTTTTACAAATTTTCTGGTGGACTTCTGAAACAGAGGCACAGTGCATTATGCTGGCCAGCATGTTTATGAGTGACTTTCATAAGAGCCAGAGGGCCCGTGGAAAAAGTACCTCTAAGTGCATAAACCTTTGAAGAAGAAAAGCCCATTTGCTCTGGAATTCTAACACCTCCAGAATTCCAGGCCTCCAGACAATACAAAGTGGTTGTGTTTTCGCCTGAGGTCCTAAATTAGCTGCTGCCTGGATTTAGCTCACTGGACCAAAGACTCAGGCACCCTCTGTTATTAGACCTACAGATCTCAATGATCAGTGTCTGATACAGAAATCTCCTAACTTTCCAGAAGCATCACTTACATACTTGCCTGGGCAAAGGCCACATCTAATGATTGTGTACTGCACGTGCACAGGCACGCACACACACACATACACACGCAGCAGCAACATTCTTACTTCAACAAAATAGATGCTACTATCATTAATTTTACTAATAGTATAAGTTAACTGCTATTAACATGACCACAAAAGATTCCTCCTCTCAAAGACCGAGAAACAGAGAGAGATAATGAGGCAAAACCTCTTTTTCTTCTAACCTTCCTTATCTTAGTAAATGGCACCACTTAGTTACCTAATTTGCACAAGCCCAGTACTTGAGAGCTACTTCATCCTCGCCTCCATACCCCATGCACTAGCAAGTCTTGTTGGCTCTGCCACTAATACACATATTCCACATCACTTCTCTCCATCTGCACTGCTACCAGTCTAGCCCAAGCCACTGTCGTCTCTTGTCTAAGTAATTATAATAGTCACCTAACTGGTCCTTTGACTTTTACTCTAGCTGGTTGCACTACAGCTCAATTTCCATGTAGCAGTCAAAATTATTTTTTTAAGGTTTAACCGTATCATGCCACCCCTCCCTGCTTAAAATCTTAAACTGTCTTACATCTTAGTCCAAAATACTTGATGTGACCAGAAAATCTCAGCATCATCTGGCTCCCGACTCAGTCTCCAACCTCATCGAATCCTACATTCACCAACCAGTCTAGCTACATTGGCCTGTTTGTTAACATGCTGAATATTATTTCCTTCTCAGAGTCTATGCCCTGGTTGTTCCCTCTACCTGGGGCATTCTTCTCCTTGAACTTGGCACCTACATGTGGTTTCCTTAGCCATCCGGGTCTTAGTTCAAATGCCACCTGCTCAGTAATAGCTTTTCAAGTCACCCAATCTAAATGAGACCTAATTCTCAGACCGTCACTATCAAGTCACCTTGATTACATTCTTCAGAACAGTTTGCATTATTTTCTTCTCTATAATATTCACCTTTATGTTTATAACTTCACTCCCCACTAGAATGTAAGCACCATGAAAGCAAGGACCTTATGGATCTTATTCAATTTTATGTCTTCTGAACTTAGATGACTCTTTGGTATGTATCAGTGGTATTTGTATCCAAATATATATGTATTTGACATAAATTAGGGGAAATTTGTTAAATGGGTTTCCTGCATTTTCAGATGAGGAAAGAAGCTTGAAGAAATTATAGAATTGTCCTGGAGTTATACAGCTAGTAAACATCTTTGCAGCTTTGACTACCTCTGCAAAACAAAGAATATAATAGTAACCACTTCTGTAACAGTATGTGCCAGGCACTGGCCTCATTGAATCTTCCTAAACTCTCTAAGGCATAGAGTATTTAGTGGGGTGGTGGGGGGAGGGTCAGCAAATAATGATCGATTTATGCACATTTCACAATTCAATGCAGTCAGTCAGATATGTCTCTTCTATCAAACGGCTCGGCCAGCTTCTTGGGCCTTAGAATCTGGGTTCTTTGCAACTGGATTGCAAAGGAAGAGAAAATGATAAATAACACCTCCTGATGTGTAAGGGCCAGATGGTCCCCTTCATGTTCACCAACATGAAAGAACAGGTAAAACATGTTCCCTAAGTTTGAAACAAAGTATGCCCAGCCACCCAGATCGCAAACGTGGTGGGTGGGGGGAAGAGGCGCTGCGCACGGAAGTGGTTCCTATTCCTCCACATTTCATTGGCCAGGACTCCGCCACGTGACCCACCCTACGCCAGAAGAGGGCGGGGCCATGTAGAGCTTCCTGCAAGCGCCGGCGCGAGAGAGCGCGATCGCTCCGCTGGACGGTGGGTGCGGCTGAGGAGACCGTTATTCCTCCTGACGAGACTGTTGGTTCTGGAAAGTCCCGGCCACGAAGGGGAAGAAGTTTGTCGCGGGTAAGTCAAAAAACTGAGGAGGAAAGAGGCTTTTTTCTTCACAAGTGTAACTATTTTACAAGTAAATGCTCTTCCTTTTGTCTTTACCTTTTTTTTTTTTTGGGGGGGGGTTTTTGAACTCCTACTTGCCCTTCGGAATAGAGCTCTGCAGCCTTCTGGAACTCAGCCCCTGATTTCTCCAGCAACTGTGGTGATTCTCTTTTTCCCTATTTGCTTTAGTCCCGTTTCTTTCCATCTCTCAAAATTCAGCTTTTCACGGACGCGCGCGGGCTTTGCTGTTAGAAATGTGAACCATGTAATTTCTAAATCTCAAAGGTTTTCTTAAAATATATTGTATTAAAATGTGTATTCTTATTGTGGAATATTAGCTTAAATAACAAAAGTTCGATCTATAGAAAATAGAGAATTTGAAAGTAATGGAATAGAATTCTTTATAAATACTTAGACAAAGTCTAAAAACAGGCATTTTCACCACTGTAAGGGAAAAGAAAATGCAGCCGGGGAAGATTCAAGTAGATTGAACCATATAGAGGTAAACTGAAAAACTGAAAATCTTGAGATATTTTTCTCTAATATCACAGGTAATTAATTTTAAAGGAGGAAATATCTTGCTATAGACGTGATTTTTTATTTTTCACTCTTAAACTTTTTCTTTGGGAATTATTTCAGACTTTAAAAACTCTGCGGGGGTGGGGAAGGGGTATAGCTCAGTGGTGGAGCGTGTGCGTAGCATGTACGAGGTCCTGGGTTCAATCCGCAGTACCTCCATTAAAAAATAAAATAAGTAAATAAATCTACCCCCCCCCATTTTTTAAAAGAACATTGAAAGATGTGAATAGTATGAGCAAACCATAGTCCGTTTACCCAGATTTCACTTTTTGTATTTTCTAGTTTACTCTGTTTGCTTCATCATTTACTCTCAAGCTTTCTGAACCTCTTGAGAGGTAGTTGTGTGCACCATGGCCCCTTTATGTTAAATATAAAGTGTGTATTTCCGCAAAATAGAGGGATTTTGGGAGGTATATATGGAGATTGTATTTACATAGTACCATGGCATCGTGAAGAGCAACGAGCCACAGCATTTAATACCTGTTGTTGCAAGCCTCGTATTTTATGGTGATTGTTTCTCTTTCTTTTCTTTCTGCTAGACTTACTGCTATTGAGGGCAAGGACCATAGCTGATTACCTCCGAATCCCTGTGCCTGGCGCATGGTAAGTGCCTGTGATTTTTTTTTTTATCATATTGGCTAATGGTGGAAGGATTGCAAATATCAATTTACTTTGCATGACAAAAATGAAGAAATTTTGTTTTTCTTAGTAATTTCTAGTTGAACTGCTTTAATCAGAGAGGATTGTAATATTTCTCCTTTGTGAAATTCATCAGTGTTTTCTTGTAACTTAATATATGGTCAGTTTTTGTGAGTATGCTATGGGCTATTGAAAAGGAGTTATGTTCTCTATGGTCAGGGTAAAAAGTTGTACATATATTCATAAATTCGGCCTTGTTAATTATGCTGTTTAGGTCTCCTCTCTCCTTATTGATTTTTTTTTTAACTTGATCTGTCTTCTCCTGAGAGTGGATTACTAAATCTGCTGTTCTTATGGTATTGCTGTTTCTGTCTCTATGTAGTTTCCATAGTTTTTACTTCATTAGAATTATGGCTTATTATTTGGTAATATTCTTAAATGTTATATCATTTTCTGCATTGTGGCCTTTAATATAAAAATCGTCTCTCTTTTGTCATGTCTTTTTGCTTTGGGACTTGAATTTTACCTTGCCTGTTCCTGGATATCTTGCTCTTTTTCTGTTTCTATTTCCATACTTCCTATTTTGATTTGTCTTGTATACCTTTGTACCTCTCTTCATATATAGCCTTTTTTTGGTGGGGGATGTGATTAGGTTTATTTTATTTATTTATTTGTTTCATTTTAATGGAGGTATTGAACCCAGGACCTCATGCATGCTAAGGTAATACACTCTACCGCTGAGCTACACCCTCCCCCTGTATATAGCCTTTTTGAATCAGTTTGAGGTGTCTCTTGTATACAAGAGAGGTGGGTTTTGCTCTGTGAGTGCAATTGAAAATTGTTTTCCTTTACTGATTAGGTTAAGCCCATTTCCTTTTAATCTTAACGAATTATCTGTTTATTCTCAGTTTTGTCACAATCTTTTATAATTATGTGTATTTTATTATATTTGCTATGTTTCTTTATAAGATATGTATCTTTTGCTCTTTAATTTAACACACGCATATTTTAGGTATTTAGAAAAGTTTGCATTTTTGTTTGGTGGTTATCTTTGTATTTGTAGCTTTTTAAATATAGTTTCTTGTTTTCATATATAACCTATTGATGTTTGGTTTATCATTTTTGTCGGTATCATATCTTCTGCCTATTGCTTATTCTGCTTTCCTTTATCCCATTTATTGGTTGCATTGTTTTTACTTTGTCAAAGCATATAAAATTTATATGAGTCTTTCACTCTCATTTCTTCCAGTTTTATTTTGTTCTTTAGATCTGTATCATCCATCCATCCCTCAGTGCACTTACCTGCCGACCTACCAAAATGCTTTACTGTCCGTCTTTTGTTGAAGTTTTCCATGTATCTTTTGGTTGAGAAAAGCTTATCTTCTAGTGCAGAAGTTGACAACCTTTTTCTCTAACAGGCCAGACAGTAAATGTGTTAGGCTTTGCAGGCCATGCAGTCTCCATCACAACCGCTTAGCTCTGCTATTGTAGCACAAAAGCTGCTATAGACAGTAAGCAAATGAGTGTAGCTGTATTCCCATAAACGTTTATCTTTGCACACTGAAATTTAACTTGCATAGCATTTTCACAAGTCACAAAATGTTATTTTAAAATTTTTCTTTCAGCCATTTAAAAATATAAAAAACATTTTCAGCTCAATCCCCATACGAAAACAGAACAGGCTAGATGTAATCGATGAATGTAGTTTGCCAATATTTATTCTAGTAGATTTCTCAAAAAGGACTTTAGGTATAGAATTCCCTAAGCTTTTGTATGTTGAGAAACTGTGTATGTGTGTTTAAAAGCCTTGGTACTTGTTGGGCAATTTTGTTGGATATAAAATCCCTGGTTTCTACTTAATTTCATTGGGTATTTTTAAAATGCTGGTCCATTTTTGCTTTGCTTTATATATTGTTTTGAATGCCTGATGCCAGTCCAATTCTTTTGCCTTGATCTTTTCACCTAGAGTCCTTGAAAATTATATCTTTATCTTTGAAATCTTGTAGTTGAAGTAGACTATATCTTGAAGTTGACTTGGGCATTTTCAATGTGTAGGTAGACATAGGTTATTTTTTTATTTCTGGAAAGTTTTCTTGGATTATAATTTTAAGTAATAGTTTGTCCTATTGATTGTATTTTTATTCGGACTGCAATAATGTTATTCCTTTGTTTATCTTCTATTTACTTTACTTCCTGTGCTGCCCTTTTTACTTTCTTAATCTCGCTTTCATTGTATTGGTTTGTCTTCCTGCTCCTTACTATTCTTCGATACCCTCTGTTAAATTTGACGAAGGTGTATTCTCCCTTGAGAACCTTGTATTTATTCTTCGTTTATAACTATTTTAGTCTTTTTCTTCCATTTTTCGTCCTGAGTTCAATCAACTCTTAATTTCTCCCTGTATTTTGTATTTGTTTTTAGCTTTTAAATTTCTGATTCAAGGTAACTTTTTTAATCACCAATTTTCATTTGTGTCTAATTCCATTTGGATTATTAGACTACATTAATATTTTTTCCTTCATGATTGTTTTTCTGGGGTTGGATTACCTCAGTTGAAATATATTGAATTTAATTTTCTAGTTTTTTCCAGAACTCTGTAAGAACAAGTTAATTTTCTTCTTGCTCACTTTTGTAGTATCAGGTGTTTTACAGGATTCCTAGTTTAATGACACACCCTTCTGTTGGTATGGCAAAGTCCAGATACTTGAGTGGATTTGTTTGTTTTGGTTGGTGGGGAGAGATTGTGTGTCCTCTGATTTTATGGCTCTCTAGTCTTGCATGGCCCCTAAAATTTTCCTTTGCCCCTTTTCTGCTTTACCAACTAGTTGCTAGTGGATGCTTTTCCCTTCTTACACTTTTCTCTCAGAGCAGCTGTGAGTTTTGGACTGTACCTTCAAATTGCATGTGCTTTTAAAGTCCTCTATCATCTTTATTCAGACACTTACTTACTTATTTATTTATTAATTAGTATTTTTAGACCGAGGATGGATTTATGGTTTCTCACAGTGTTTTTAGATCCACTTTTCACTCTTTTGCTATTTCCTCTCTTTGTCTTTGCTTGGTTTTTGTGTAGGCTTATTTTTTCCTTCTTGTCTTTCTTTCTTTCGTTTTCAGAGGAAACATTGGGAGGTGGAGACCTAAGTGGCCTTAGTTATCTTCAGATACCTTCAAAGTCCCTAAAAATGGATACACTTTGAAAAGAAGGCTTCTTTTATGCTATTAAGAGAAGGAAAATTGTTAAAACACAATTTGTATTTTTTGCAAAGACCACCACTAAAATATAGTCAAGGTCAAAGAGACCTTAATTATTTCAATTTATGGTAAGTCACACCACTCTATCTGAGAAACCTTGAGAAGCTCATAATAGATATTTGATGACTTCATGGAATCTTTTGAAACTCAAGCTATTTGTCCACATTTGCTTCAGTCTTTTGGATACTGCCAGAAACTTTACTTTGGGGTAATGACAGTATGAGTAATTCATGCTGTTGAGTCATGTTCAATTAATGTAATTATAAAAGTTAGACTGAGGTTTTCTTTTAAATTTCTGGTAATGTCAAATGATAAACAACTCACCTGAATTGTCAATCATTTGAGAAAAGTTCCTTCAACCATTTTAGTCATACTGGGAATGTTAAAGATAAAAATGCCTGTGCTTTATATAGGTGGAATAAAATATTATCATTTAAAATGTTTACTATTCTTATATGTAGCAAATGACATTACTATCATCAAATACCAAACCAAATAAATAATAATGCCCTACTGACTGTGACTTTAATGGTTCAGTGATGATGTTTATTAAATGATCTTAAACTCTTACGGCTCATTGGGAGCAGATTAAACCTTCACTAAATCTATTAGATTAGAAATTCCAAGAAAGCAATACAGTTAATGTGCAGTCTGTAATTTATATTCTATTATATTTTAAAGGAATATTCTGAGCTACCATTTGCAAAAGTAAAACATAGCTGAGTTATATGTCTTTGAAAGTTCTATATTTGATAAATCCCTAAAATAGGAATAAAGAAATTAAGTCAAAATTTGCTGCTGCACAAATTATTTAGTAAGAGTTTGCCCTTTGGGAAATTATTCACTCTTTCTCATCCTATTGATGATTTATGCAACACTTTTGTCTCTTATTATTTGTTTCTTCCAGTTTTACTGAGATATGATTGGCATAGAGCAGTGTATAAGTTTGACGTGTACAGCATAATGATTTGACTTACGTGCATAATGAAATGATTACCACAATAAGTCAGTGAACACCCATCGTCTCATATAGATACAAAATTAAGAAAATTATTTTTCCTTGTGATGAGAACTCTTAGGTTTTTCTTAACAATTTTCATATGTAACATACAGCAATGTTAATTACATTAATTATGTTGTACATTATATCCCTAGTACTTATTTATTTTATAATTGGAATTATGTACCTTTTGACCACCTTCATGCAATTCCCTCTCCCACCACTCCCCTTCTCTGATGACTACAAAACTGATCTTTTTTCTATGAGTTTCTTTGTTTGTTTGAAGTATAATTGATCTATAACACTATGTTAGTTCCTGATGCAAATGTAGTGGCTCTGTATTTCCATGCATATATTTCATTTTATAATAAATGTTCACTGTAATAATTAAGGCTAGTTATCATCTGTCACCATACAAAGACATTACAGCATCATTGACTATATTCCCCATGCTGTACATTTCATCCCAGTGACTCATTTATTTTTTAACTGGAAGTTTGTACCTCTTAATCTCCCACACCTCCTTCATTTATCCCCTCACTCCCTTCCCCTCTGGCAACCACCTGTTTTCTTTGTGATACCATACAGTATTTCTCTTTTGTCTTTCTCTGACTTATTTCACCTGGCGTAATACTCTCTAGGTCCATTCATGTTGTTGCAAATGGCAAAACTTAATTCTTTTCTATGGTGAGCAATACTGCATTTTATTTATAT